TAGTTTGCAATTTTTAAAATGGGGTTTATAATGAACCTGGATTTGGAGAAAGAAAGGGCAAACTAGTTCAATTAATGTCATTATTATTTTTACCTAAACATGGAATATACACTGTTTTTTACAAATGTGGCATTTCAGAGCTTCAATGGCCAGTGGCATAGATGTGATAATATTCCCCTAAAAGAGTAGCAATATTTTCAATTAATCCAAGCTGACTTACTGCCATTCCAGAGATTGTAGGATGGTCTGGAAGAGATCTGTGCCCTAGCTTCATAGCAAAACAGCTTTAAACGAATGGATGGACACAGCTGGTGCAAAAGCACCTGAACATCAGTCCTCCTGTCATCCTTGCTAAAAGCCTGTGCAAAATTCCCAGCCCCTTACAAGGCTTACTTGTGCACACAAACGTTCAATAGAAGGTAGGTAAGGGTTTACCTGTATAGATGAGCATATGCATGTGTGTATACACACAGCCACCTTTTGATATGAAGAACGCTTCTTAAGGTTTGCTACAAAATAGCACATAAAGGTGCAGCTCCATAAAGAGGAGAGGGAAGCTGGAATAGATACAAAGAAAAGCTGTAAGGTGAAAGACACTTAAATGACTCCCAACCAGGTAAGAAAATGAAACTCAGTGTAGTGACAACAAGCACCACTAACATCACAGAGTGCAATATGGATTATACTGACCAGACTTTGGCAGTCGCCCCTACCTAAACAATTAGGACTGCTCACAGGTTACAGCTGTGCTTTATTACTCACTAATTTCTTCAGCGTGAGTTACAAGAAGGACATGCATTTAAAAGCAGTAATTCATGCTGTTTCTAGTAACTTACTGAAATAATCAACATATGGTTCCCAGTGCTCCCTACAATTACTCTTCACAACATCTCTCTAAAACAGATACTGTACGTAATAGGTAAATATAACAAATAAGTAAATTCAATTTATGCATGGGGAACTCTGACAGAAATACCATTCTGCTGGGCATCACCCTATTGTTCTCCTCCTAAAACCCAGTTCTGCAATTGCTTTCAATAAGAGCAGGACTAGGCTGATAGACTGAGAGTATCTGAAAGTCCCTACCCAAAGCATATGGGCAGAAATCAGAAAGCAAGTCAGAACAGACTGATTAAGAGAACTAGGTTTCATTTAATCTGAATGCCAAACACCTCTCCTTTGCACATGCTGGGACTGAAGGCAGATGTTCTTCTCATCCATTATTCAAAATAGAAACGTTACCTTTTAGTGCTCAGATTTCTATCAGCTCATGGCAAATCACAGGAGAAAACTCCGTGCAGTCAGGAGGCAGGCAGAAGAGAAATAGTTTTACACTTTCTAATAATATGAAGTGCTACGTGTTCTGGGACAACATTTTATTTCAGCATTAACCAGCCCCTGTGATATCTATGCACTTCATTCATACGACTCCAGCCTTACAATGAAGTCCCAGGTGGGAGCATTATGAAGCAGCATCAGCACAGGCCACTGGAAACTGCGTTCTTGTCTGCCGTGTTTCCTGTACCTCAGGGCCAGCCTGGGTGATATTTACAGTCAGACTATCAAAGACACCCAGCCTGTAAGCACTGATTTAGTGAGAAAGCACCACCCCTTCAGAAGATAATGCCCATATGAAAGAAATGTATCCATCCTAATTCTCTTGTGATGTTTTTTACTTCCCTGTTGACTCAGAGTTACTAGAATTAAAGGCCCTTTGGATGCTATGTTTTAGATACCTACATATTTATTCTACTAGTTGATTTCATGCACTCTTAAAATAAATACAATTTTGAGCTAAAAGTACAATGAGAAATGACCTAATGGCTGAAACTCTGGCCTAAAATTAGGCATAAACTGCACCCAGTCACAGGTTGGCTAGGCAATGACCTTTACCTGTCTCAGTATCCCTGTCCATAAATGAGAAATTAGGACATTGCTCTCATTTTGTGAAAGGCTTTGAGGCTTTCAGGCAGACAGTGCATTATTCTGTTCATCAAAACCCCCATACTTCTTTTACAATATGGTGCCCCACAACTAAATAGTAGACCTTCCTTTCCCTGGTTAAACACTTGTGACACCTCCCACCCCTCTAGCTGACGTAAAAACTGACAAAACTGAACACAATGTGCTCTCATCATTTTCCAGGCTCTTGCAACTTCAAGACGCAACAGAAACGAGCATTGCTGGACACACATTGCAGGAACCCAAGTGGTGCTGAAAGATGTCTCAGACCATATCGTTCAAGAGCTGAGGTAGTGGCTGTTGCCCTGTACTGGGAGGGTGTTAGATGACAGGCAAAACATGGCCTTGGGCAGAGGTAGTAAGGTGCTGGCTGTTTTATAGCAAGCTCCTTCTCTCACTTCCAGTGGATCTACAACACATGCATCTGGTGCTGAACTATAACCATCTCCAAATACAAGGAACACAGTGTAAGACAGCTGCAGTCATACAGGAACCTAAGGAAATTCAGAAATAAATGGGAAGAAAAGTAACTGCGGGCAGGGGGAACTGGTCACTTACCCACCAGTGCCCTCCAGTGGCTCACACAGCAACTCAAGGAACTGAAGATGAGAACCTGTTTTCAGAGGTCAGACACCATAATTGTTTCACTAATGGACAGAAATGAAAAAGCTGACATCTGGATGCCAGATTGCCGTGCAAGACCTTAAATTTTAAAAAGAGCTATCTCATATCTGCTATCATTACATACGATATCCATATAAACCTGCATTCCATCAAGTGGGTAAAATACTAATGACAAGCCATGAAAAATGAGACAACAGAAACCAAAGTGATTCTGAAGACAAAAATGTTTATTTGTACTAACTCTTCAAATGGGTATACATTCACAATCTTTAAAGAAAATCAGTACACGTCTAGGGCAAGTTGAGTATGTATCATTAGAAGATAATGCCTTCCTTAGTAATTAATGTTCATAAATCAAGAACTAGTTACACATTTATGACCCCTTACACAGGGGCTAATGTTTTCAGTAAGACTATCCCAGTACTAGGCAAAACAGAGTGTTTGTAGAACAGGATTCTAATCATTCAGTTCCAGTATCATATCACAGTCTTTTAATGAGCAGCAAATATTAGTGGGGGAAAAATATCTAGTGCCAAGCTGAATGTTCTCAAACGCTGAAAAGCAAACACAAATGGTGAAGTATCTATAGAAATTTAAATAATTTATTTTAGTTACTGAAACTTCACCTTTTGTCTGAAAAGAACAAGAATATCATTACAGAGTGGAGGAAAGAATTCCATAAAAACCTTTTTTCTAGATTTGCCTTAGAATAGGCTTCCGTACAAAACAAGAACAATTAAGATTTTGGGGTTTCAGTGGTAGAAGTAGTATTGGAATAATAATCATCTTAAAATATATATTAATTTACCACATTTAGCTCATATAGCCCTTTATGTATCTTACAAAATGCTACTGTTCTACATACTGCATGTAAAAAAAGTTTATTTATATATATATATGTATATATACACATATAAAGGCAAAGCCAATCAGCTTGGTATTAAAAAAAACAACACAAAGCATAAGCAGACACACTGAAAGTTATGCAGTAATGAGGAGTGTATGCTCCACGTGTGCGTTAGTGTAACAGTGCTTCCAATCTTAACACATCCTTTTGTCTAAGCAGAGTGCTTGCTCCAAGTCAGCTCTACCAGTGATTTCCTCAATTGACACAAACACCTGATGTTACTTAACTTCTAGCCATCTGTTATATTTAGCACTAAATCAGAAATAAGGCAAAATAACTTTTCTCATCGATGAATGTCTGATGACATTCACAAGATCTTCCAAAAATTAATACAAAGCATTATAGGAGCACAAGAAATGGTACCTCTGAACTGAAGTGTCTTCCTGACTATACAAACCTGGCCCAATGCTCGCCTATTCCAGAGTAATCCAGGCTACTTAACTAAATACGACAATTATTCCCAGGCATACCCTTTGTTTTAGCAAGTTTTGAATGACACAACTTAAATCTTCAGGATGGGTTTGTGCTCACGATTTCTGGTCTAAAAACATCACTGAGAACAGTGAACAACAGTTCTGATACTGCTCGGAGGTTTGGAGTGGATATTCAGAGCGGACGGGCATTCTTGTTGAGCTCTGTAAATCTCAGTGCTAACCCTTGTCTCCCAGCTGCAAGAATGAGTCCACTCTTTATGTACCCAGCATATATTTTACCAAAAAAATTACAGTTTAGTATACAAGAAAAGCAAGACAGATTTGATTTATCTATCTTTTCTTGCATCAACCTTCTTAAAAGAAGTCCCAAAGAACCCAACCAAGCCAACCCCACCCCCAAACTCCATAAAATCACAAATTTTCCAATAATAAATAAAATTAACCTCCTTGATAAAGGAAAGGTGCCTGAAAAAAACCAAGTTCAGATACCTGGGGAATAGAAGAGACAGATGCCTTTGAGAAGCTTTCTGGGAGCTTGGTCATAAAGGACTTGCTCCAGCATCCATTAAAGTTTTGTCCAGTGAAAAGAGTAACTTCAGAATTCATCATTTCTCTGGAGAGGCTGGTTCAGGACTACAGTCCAGTTGACATGTCAGTCACTGGCAGGCACTGAAATGAATGTGGTCAGTGTACTGGCACATAACACTTTTGACAACACAAGCATGATCTACCAGGGAATTCCCCAAACATTCCTTGAAGTCTTGCGTGGAGTGCAACACTTTGTAGCTGATGGTTAAGCTAGAAACACAGCATGACAATTTTGAGCAGTGGATACCCAAGAATATCCTTACCCACCCACCAAACAATACCAGTGAAGAATGACCACAGGTACAACACTAAAATGAACCCTAGGCTCCAGGGTTCAGAATCCCCAGGTCAACATCTCCCACTTGTTTTGGGGAATGGGATTTTAGAAGAGCCTAGCACCTGGGAACAGCAAGGGAGAAACAGAGAAATACAAAAATACAAGGATTAAAAAACAGAAGGGGAGGTAATGATCCTCCTCTAGTGTAATTAAAAACTTTAAATTCACTTAGAAATTTGTTTCAAAATAGTCTGACAGTTTTAAAGACTTTCAAAAATCAAAATATTTTTCACCAGAGTTCATTAAAATATCCCTGTAGCCCCCTGAATAACTGCTACCACTCGTTTTGCATTAATATTGCTTAAATTAATATAATGTTAAGCATGCAAAATGTTAAAATTTCATTGTGTATACGGAATAAAACCAAGTTCTAATAGAAAGACTCCTAATATTTCAAGGTTACAGGCTTGATTCAGTCTCCATCAAAACCAGTGGGATTCTTCCCACAGTGTCTGGTGGATTTTGGACTAGGCCTTAATAAGAGACAACAACACATTGTGTTTAATGGTGTAGGAACACACACAAAGTACACTTGTGTATATACACTAGGTATGTAGGACAACTTTTGCATTGCGTGTCTTAAACCAGCTGTATTTTAGCCAGTAAAACAACAATCACCAAGCCAACACTACATGCTATGTCAAACTAGGCTGTATAACAAAAACCAATACCCATTCAGAGACATTCATCTTGTTACTGTTGCCTAGTGAGCAGCTTTGAACGAAGCTTAATGATACATCCACTTGAACTCAGATATAAATTTGAAAGGCAGAAAGCTGCATTAGTACGATGGCCTGATTGATTTTATATGTGCTCTGGATGACTTTGAAGGCAGGATATCATCTCTCTGACAGGCTTCCCTTCATAGCAGATTTGATACACAGCAGTGAATAGTGGAAACCTGAGGAAACAAGGTGGGGAAAGCAAACGCAGCATAAGTTTATTCTGTAACATTTTCTTAAATGAAAGAAATAAAGTGGGGTGAGGAGAGGGAGGGAAAAGAGAGAGACTGAAAAATCAATTTCTTTCAGTATTTGTCAAGTGCAAAAGCTGGGCTGAAAAGCACTGGATAAATACAGAACCTACACACATCTCTAAAATGAGTCACTCTCAGAAGCCTAGCTAGCTATAATGGAGCCTGCAACATTCATTATGTATGGCACAACCATTAAGTTATCTAAAAAATTAAAAAATTAAAAATACTTGCATCTTTCCTTGACATTCTTATAGCAGTACTCATCTATGATTAAAAGGGATGACTGGCACACCAGTTATACATTACCTCCAAGCAGTAATTTGATAATACAATTACAGAACATGACACAAAGAGACTCAAGAAGAAATTGAAGGTCAAGTTTTTAATAAGAGACCAAAATAAAATGTGGATTTTGAAACACTAAATTCTATCTCTTCTTTTTTTCTTTTTTAAATTGGTCGCGTTTCCAACAACCCCCAAATTATTCAGGCTTCTCTGATAATCTGCAGGCTTGTTACAGCCAAGACACTATGCAAATTCATATCTGCTTTCTGTCCATCCTGGACAGCGACAGCCAGACAAGTCCCATTTTCATACAGAGCCTGGTGAATTTTAGGGATTAATTGTCTGTTCACTAAAATAAATATGCCATTTCAGTGTGGCCTTTTATATTGATAAATTTTGACCAAACACACTACGTTATTTTGACTGAAATAAAAAATAAGGACCATTGGAGATGTTGAAATAGTTAATTTCTGAGTGATTCAGAATACATCTGGACTAGGACTTTCTGCTCAGGAAAGTGGTCCCATCAGTCACTCTAAAGCTGTATCTGTAATGCACAAATGCAGCATTGAGCAGAACCCCCAACCAGTACTGAGCACCGTATGTGCTTGCCCATACACCCTGCTATAATGCGTTATACTGAAGTTATTCTGGTGTCGCCACATAGCTCTGAACTAGACTCCTCAAAGTGAACCAGAGGTCACAAGAGAAGCCATGAGCCATTCAGGAGTATCATTACAGCATGGTGACTACTGCATTCTCAGGGGCAGATACAGGATTCATACCTGGCTGAATGGAATACTTTGTGTTACTGGGGAAAAAAAGTGGGGGAACGGACATGCTTGTGAATTCAGACCATTGTTTCTATGGCTTTTATTAGAAGTGCTCAATTCAAAATGTAGAATTTCATTTTTATCATCTGAAGCATTTTAATGTCTTGCTATGTAATGCACGTCCATTTCTTTTGATTTATTTCTGTGGACAACAAGAAAAAAATAGCAGCAATAGCAAAATAGCTGCTCTTTCAAATCCAGTGCTACACTGTTTATGTTGCAAAATTCCTTACTAGGAAATATGCAGAAAAAAAATTTACACGAAGACTTTTGCATCTATTAACAAGCCTCAATTATCACTCACTTTGTAGAATATATTGGGCTGGGTGGGCTGAATTTGCTTTTACCATAAAAATTTAAATGTATGCACTAAAATAAAATTTGTTATGCCTATGTGAGATTTTATCAGAGGCGGCCACAAAACATGAACCTTCTGAAGCAAAAGCAAGTTTCACACAGCTTTAGATACAGTACTGGCAGTTACTTCTCAGTGAAGAGTACCACTACTACAAACCACATCTTGATACATAAGTCTTGCTGTTTATCACAGAGAACATTACTCTGCTGTGCACAGGTCTGCCACGCTTCACATGGGGAAAGCAGAATCAAAGGCTGACTGCAGGCTCAGGGCCAGCAAACTCCAAATGCATCTTATGTCTGAGCATATTAATAGGGCTAGTTCTACAACTGTTGAAATGAAAAAACGAATTGCACTGTAAATATCAATAGGCATCAACCCTGCCACCAAGGCTTTTCTACTGAACTTTGACTTTTGCATATTTCTGTGTAGCCTTGGGACTCTTTTTGTAGGATAAGAGTATGAAATTTTACTCTTACTAGAGTCTTACCTCTTCACTTTGAAACCATGGCTGTTTTACTGTGTTTTGTGTTTTAAAGCAGTAGCAGGAGAGTTTTTGAAAAACACTTTGAAAGTTGCTTTCAAAAGTCTTGTTGAATGAGACCTTTTATGAAGAACTGACACATGTATGTTGGTATACCAAACAAATTGGCAACTCTCTGTTTTCACATTTTTCATTAAAAACACAACCAAAATCTTCTATAATATGCTCTATTTGTTGTAACATAGAACAAGGAAAAAAGCAAGCAACCAACCAACCAACAAAAAACCCCAAACACGGCATCCTGTCTCATTTAGGGAATCATAAACCGCAAAGACCGAAGCCAACATTTTAATTAATTTTTTTTCTGCAGTTAGCTGAATTACTGTACGCTGCAGAGATAGACTTAGGTGCCTTACATCCAAAGATAATGTTAAAAAATAAATAATTTAATGCAGCTGATCCATTAAAACTAGACTTTTAAAACCGCTTTGGAAAAAAAGTAACAATGCTTGGTCTTCTGACTGGCAGTCATTTATTTCTGATTTTGCCCCCTCTACAAACAGGAACAGATAGATACAATATCCTTAATCTCATAAGGAGACAATTGTGTGTGTGGCTTTAGGAATCATACATGTTGTGACTTGAATACAAATGAACGAGCCAGGACAACCTGCTTAATTTCATACCACAAAAAACCCCTGACCTACACAAACAAATAGCAGGTTTTATCCTCGACCAAACTGGAATTCACATTAGGAAACAGAGCTGCGGTATCTAAGCTAGAATCCATGTGGATAGGAGCAGCAACTCTATTCAGATGATCACCTATACAGATCCTTAATAACAAAGCTCCTCTCCTTGAAGATAAGTAATGAAGTTACTACCATGAAATGAGCTGTACAACCTCTTCACAAGTCTCTATAGGAAGCTCAGCTTCTATTTTCACATATTTTATTCTTTTCACATGCTTTTCTGTGATAGCAGAAGGCAATAATATATTCTGCAAACAGAAGCACATTCACAAATTTAACGTCACAATATTAGCTCTATCTACAGCAGTAGCATTTTGAGGTTCTATTCACTTCTCTCTGTGATTTTAACTGGGGATTAAGCTACTCTCATTACAGTGATTTTCTTTTTGTCTATTACCTTCATGAAGATATCAAGATCAAATACGCAGAAAGAATTATGGAGATAAAAAAGGGGTATGCGGAACATGCTTCATCTGTTCTTACTTTTCCAGCATTCCTTTCTGCTTGAGGATGCGATACACTTCTGCAGAAGTCTGTGGCCCTTGCAGCTTCTGGCCATTCAACATCTCTTGCTCCAATTCTTCAATAGACTAAACAGCAGAAGGAAAAAAAAATAAAGGAAGAAAAGCAGAGCTATGATAAAATTTTCATAAGCCTGACAACACCATCGGGATGGAAAAAAAAAAAGATGTCACCGAGGGTTTTTCCTTTCTCAAAAGCAACCTTGAGTGAGCATATATAATATTCTCCTATATTCTTGTTTGTAAATATTCTCCTTCTTAAATCTGCATCTCCCAACATCTTATCTCTCGAGTTTGTTTTTTTTAATCAGCCTTCCTTCTTAACACCTTTACACTCATTGTAGCCTTGTAACACTCTCAAAAATGAGAGGAAAGAGAAGGGTACTCACTCAGTACAGCTAGCATGTCTCAGATAACTGTACTATTACTCCAACAAACCAGGAGTGCTAGTACTTGCAACAATGGATTTCACCCAGGGAATAAGGTACCTTTCCAGTTTTAACGAACGCTTCTGCTACACGTCGATTCCGGCCACCGTAACATGTTGTGATGAGATCAGCAACTCCACAGCTCTCCAGGAAAGTGGCAGTAGACACCTGTCCTTTGCAAAAAATTCTGGCAAATGCAATCATCTCCATTAGGCCAAGGCGAATAACAGCAGCTTTGGTATTGTCACCGCAGCAAAGGCCATCACAGAACCCAGCTCCTACTGCTACTATATTCTAATGAGAAGAGAAAAAACAAAGGGGAAATGAGTCAATTATTGCTTACAGAATCCTAGGAGACACCAAAAGACAGAGTGCAGATGCCCTTAAGAACTGCAAACACTTTACTAGTGTAAGACTAGGTTGTTGGTTTGGGTTTTTTTGGTTTTGGGATTTTGAGGTCTATGGGATAACCTTTAAAAAAAAAAAAAAAAAAAGATGACAAGCCTTACATTACTAAGTATTTCCAATGATAAAAACATAGTTAAAACTCTGGAACAAGTTGCCCCAGAGGCTGTAAGGCTATTATTATTGACTATCTTTAAGAACAAATGGGTTACACTACACCCAAACAAGGTTTTATCTAGATTGAGCTGTTCCTGCCCTGAGGTAGGGGTAAAGTTAGACTGACATCCCACAGCCCCTTTATCCATTTATTTTCTTTATGATTAAATACTGAATGTAAGAAACATTTATTGACTTCAATGCTGATATGCTAAGGGACCAAATTCAGCCAAGCTAGTAGTATTCAGCCCTTTCAAGTATGCAGAGTTCCTATAACAGTAATAGTTATCAAGGATTCCCAGAAGGTTCATTACACCAAAAGACCTTTCCTAAGCAAAAAATGTTGCGTTTTTTTTTTCCTTAGACCTGGTGAGAGCCTTCTACAAAGAGTGTGCTGTTTCTTCATGAACAATCAGCCATACAGTCCCTTCTTTGGTTTACAAACATAGAGATTAGTTGAGAGACGATTGAGTGATGTGAGTATAAAAGCTATTTTCTGGCCTGGGACTCAGCGACTAGCCATGGTTAGTTTGCCCCTACCAAAAAACCCCAATCCCTACCAAACCCCAAAACACTCCAAAAAAGTTAGCATTCTGATGTACTGATAAAGCGAACAAGGAAGCAATAGATGTAGTAATACTTTTCTGCATGCAACAATAGCAGCAGTGACCGCAACAGAAACCACAGGAGAACCAACATTATGGCACCTAATGTAGCACCCGATGCAGGGGAAAAAACCAAACAACCAAACCAACTTTAACTGTTGGTTAAGAAACAGCAACAGTCAGGAGCTGCTAGTTAAAGCAAGCTGATTAACTGCCAGTTTTGTTTTGTTTTTTGGACTGTAAGAACCAAAAACTGCAGGCAGCTCCAGTGCTATGTGGCCAGTCATGGCTACATGACTCTGAATCAAATGAGGTCAAAGGATGACGCATTGCTTTTTGAGCAGCTAGCTGAGGTCTAAAGGTGACCTTAAAAATTGCAGACAGATATCTCAACATCAGACCTGAAGCAGCAAAAGATGATCAGACTTTTAAAGCTGGTACTTTAGATCACTTTGGCTTAAATCTTGGCTGTGGTGATTCAGTCAAGGTATGTTTTTATCAGATGCCTCTCCCAGAGCAACCTCCAATATTTGTTCATTTGGTGGCAAAACAAGAGGAAGTCAAACAGGTGTTTAAGAAGTTTTCAGATGGGATAATCCATTTAAATGGAATTTACACATACATGAAGTCTGCAAGTGTTTAGTGCTCAGCTGAAAACTAAAACATTTTTGAACAACCTCCGGGCTTTTTCCATATACTTCTTGAACACTCCAATACTAAAGCTTCCCCTTCCCTCCAACTTTGCCTGCTTTGACTTCCCACTTCGAAGCAGCTTACCTGATCATAATTTACAGTACAATTTGGCCTATGGTATTCTGTTGTCTACTTCTACCTTTTGCAATGTTTCTCCTCGGAGCAACAGAAATAATGTTTTAAGCAAGTCATACCAAGACTAGTTACTTCTGAGGAAATGTGGTAGGGAAGAAGGGAAGTTGTGAGTCTAACTCTGAAACAGTAAGCTCCTCATTTGTACAATGTCCCCATTGTATGTTCCTACACATAGTTTGCAAATAATGAGGAAACAAGACAACCGATTATGCTCTAGAACACACAGCCACGCCTAGGAGACTGTTACATCCTGGTCTGCATAACCCTCAGGCCACAACTATGAATTTGCAAGGTCTACCATCTGGTTTCATTTAAGTCCATGAAGAATCTATGACAACTCTCTCATGTCTAACACACTGCAGAGAACTGAATTATACCACACTGAAAGTTACACCTTACTGAAAGACGAGCCACTCCTTTTTAAAACAAAACAACAAAAAAACTCACAAAACTTGAGACTGAGTCATCTTTCAGTCCAAAACAAGACCAAAACAGGCAGCTTTGTACTTGAAATCTCTGGGTGCAGGCACTAACTAAGCTGAGTTTGTTTCAGGAAGATGCATAAGCAAAACACGAATTAGCACACAAGAGCTTAACAGCACTAGCAGTATAGCAATCCTCTGAGAAGCAGACTGGGGGGTGAGAATCACGTATCTATCTGGCAAAAACATCTTTCTGTATCTGATATGGTTGATCCTGAACTGCCAAAGTCTACACCTGAAGTTACATGAGTTCCTGCAAATGCAATGGGCATACATTTGTGCAACAGGAGAGAGCCCGTGTTTCCATGAGCTCAAAGACTGACTGTATTTGCATACGCAACATGGGGGTCTGAGAGCCCAATAAGCAAGGACAACTTTAGCCTACAGACAAACCTGTTGTTCCAAATGTTCAAAAATACTGTCACAACAACCCCAAAACGACTGCAACACAATGGTCCTCTTGGCCTGAGGGATTCAGAGCTCTCAAAACCACTTCACACTTGAGCAAACACATTTCCCCCATCTTGGCATTAACAGCTTTTTACATTAAAGCACGCATCCTGTAAGCAAGATGCACAGGGTGTTTTTATATTGCATACAGTTTTAAGCTACTAAAATACTTTGCACTAACAGGTGAGTCTTTAGCTGGTCTGGTATCCAGAAGCTGGCGTTACTCCTAGTCCTAGTTATTCTAGAACATGAAAAAGGACTGGATTCAGTTATTTTATCACTGGGATAGTGAAGCTATGCTCCAGAAAAGAAATGTTGATGCCAGGCAGTGCTCATAGTGTGTGTCAGAACAAATGAGAAAAAGTGTCTTTTACTTGCACATGACCTGCTGCAAACATGCCAGAGGTCACAAATGCAAGGTCAATAGATGACCAAGAAACCAAGGCTAACAAGTCTGCAGACTTTGCTGACAGATTGTTTTCTTACACAGTCAGTGCTCAGAAATATCCAATTTACAGTCCTACTCTGTTTACAGTAAGTTTGTGGAATGCTCATAAAGACAGCTTCAGAGGCCATTTCTGAGGCAACCATTACCTCTCCATAATTAAATGGATCATTAGAGAACTAAGCAGAAATGTTAATTTACCTGGGATGTCCAGACTTCCTTGAGGTACTGTCACAGCTCAGCACAGCCTGCTTTCCCTCCTGCTTACACATGAACTTGGAGAAGCTCCTTGCTTCACATCATGGCTGAGAGAGGTCAAATGAAGACTCAACAAATCAAAGACAGTATCAGCAGGACTGTCAGAGAGGTTAAGCATAAACTGCTTGCTTGCTCCTGGCAAACTTGAATGTAAATAATGGATTTCATTTCCACTTAATCTCAGGAAAGAGTAATTACCACAATCAACTTCTACAATACCTAGACTGACTATCCAACAGTGACTGCCATAAACACATTTTGCAAGACCACCTTTGTAAGTAATAATGCTAGGTTACATAACCTGGTAAACAATAAATCATCATTATACTTCTTACTTCTTTGCTTAAGGCTAAGCTGGAGCCATAAGATTTAGAGATGGGCCTGAAGCAACCTGAAAGGCAACCACAGCTGCTGCTCCTTCTCCTTCCTACAGTAACTGTCACATCTGTCTTGATCCTTGGCTGCTGCCACTTGAAGGTTTTTAACTCTCCAGATCCCTGAACATATATATCAGACACCTGGAGCATGGCCATTTTGCCATATCCCGAGATTAATTCCCCACCTCTTCCCCCCCTCCCCCCCCCCCCCCCCCCCGCCCCCACTGCACTGGGTAAGTCATTCCAGTACAGTTTACATGCCAGAATGCAGCTACCGATGTCTATCTATATTGCCTCTCAAGTATGCTGCTAGGTTCATACACCAGCTCAGCCCTGCCTCACATCTGTGCTGCTTGATTGTAAGACCACACACCGGCACAGGCACTAAGGACTCTAAGGACACCTCAGAGGTGATAACCTTGGGTCTGTGCTACTCTGCAGTATCACATCCATCAGCAACTAGGAGCACATCCATATGTATGCATCGCTGCACGTACTACTCTGACCATGGTGTCATAACCTTTAAGCGCTTCCTAGGAAGGCCCCTTCATCGTCTGGCAAATGGCAGCTGGAACTTGTAGGTGGCCTTGGGTCAGGCTGCCTGTAAAGCCAACTGGACACCTTGAAACTGAACTATCTAAATTTGAAGTTTGTTTATTTCTGACCTCTAGCCTTAGAAAAGGTCAACAAATAAATGTGAAATGTGCTTCAGTCCTCAAAAGAAAAAAATCCTGATTGAGAACAAGCCAAGCACTTTTTGTTCCTACAGCCAACAAGTTACTGTAGACAGCTGTTCTTCCTCAGTATCATCAGATTTTGTAAGCTGACTGCCATTGCCTATTCAGCCAGTCTTCAAGCTGACACAAGACTGCAGGTTCACTGTGCTGATTTCTATACTTCAGTACATCTCCATCAGCCCATTGTCACAAAAAAATAAATAGAGTAAATGAAGTGGATATTCAATATATATGCATATATGTATATGTACATAAATAGCAATCAAGCACATGTTCTTTCATGATCACCCAGCTGCAATACCTATTATTACAGTCTGAATGCAAATATGTATCAAAAAACAGACTTCAAACCTAAAATTATCATTATTGTAAGTGAAAGCTGTGCTCTGAGCACTCTCTGTGTTTTTCCCAACCTTTAGGCAAGCATCCACATTGAAAATCCTCCCTCCTTACAAAGGCTTGCAGAAATAAAGTGCAAGGTTAAGTATAGACTTTTAACAAGATCTAGTCTATTATGCCAGAAATACCAGAAAAGTCTCCTTTTCCCAAGCTGGTATTTATAGAAAAATGCAGAAACTGGGAGAATATACTATTTCTCATAGTGTACTATTTCTCATCCTTTAAATGCCAATACAGGAGTTGCTTTTACTATTTCCACATCCAAAAAGACAGTCTGGACTAGCATGTGTGCCTGCTTACTTCTGTCCTCTAAGCCATACTTTGCAGCGACGCTGCTGACATTTTGAATTGGCACTGCTATAGAAAGACAGTAGAACCTCTCTTTTTATACCTGTCTCTCCACACAACACGACACTGTCGTCTTCTGAAATAGGAATTTCCTCCTTCCAGGAGGTTAAATAATGCTAATTTTTACTACTTTTTCATAAAGTAACTTTCCAAGTTTAATAAAGTAACTGTCAGCTGACAGAAGCTACACTTTAGGTCTTTCCCTAAAAACAATCACATGAAAAGATGCTTATTTTTCATACTTTTATTACAAAGATTATCAGATTAATCATAAAAAAGGAAAGTGCTTGTTGTTACCCTCAGCAAACAATTCTCCTAATAATAAGAATGTACAACTTCTAAGAAAAAAAGCTCAGGTTTACCTTTCACTATTCACATCTGAACTTTGCATTTTGCTTTGCACAGGCAATAAAAACATACCCATCTGTTTAATTTTAGCTTCTTCATTTTCTTTCAGAGGCATACATGTTCCCAATGCATTAATAAAATTTTGCAATGTTTGAGTTAAAAACAGCTCAGGAAATTATTTACATGCTGTCAGTACAAATTTAGGATTAAACTAGAAAGGGTTTTAAATCAAAAATTACTTCTAAAAATATTATTTTAATTAAATTTTCATTGAGATTAAGGAAGAGTTATATGTTTAAAAACCATCATCTATATTAGTATGACTGATCTATGCCACTTTATACCAGTTCATGCCTTTTAATCAGGCAAGAAATCCATAGTATTTTTAAACAAGTTAATCTAGCCTTAATTTGCTTTTTGTTTAGAGCTCATACCATGCATTTCTTTGGAAGTCTCAACTCAGTTAACAAATTATACTGCAATCAAAACCAAATGACCAGAGCACACAGAATATATACAGCTTTTTAGAAATGCAACTATAGAGTTCAGTCTGCAGGATATAGGATGAATAATGAAGCAGGAGGGAAGAACAAAACAGAACTACAAAGAAAATAAGGAAGTTTCACCTCAGCATCTTTCCAGGTCAAGAACAACAATTTATTTAAATTCTTCTGCATTTCCAAAGAGATACTGGTATCTTGCCTGACTTGGACCTTTACAGTGGAGTTTGAGTGTCTGCTGACTAGCTGCTCAGTTTAATGGGTACACTAATCTCTAGCGCCCTTTCATGAGATTTATCTGGAATAAAAATTACTTGGGACAGAACTCCTTTATCAAGCAAGAATTTAAGCTAGCTAGAAAACTTCAGGCTGAACAGAGTTCAAAGAAAAATAAATCTGTAAAACTTTTTGACTAATTTCATGGGTCTATACACATGCTAACCTCCCACATCACCACAGCATTTTAAAGCAATGGTTGTGGAGCAAAATTATGAGCTCCACAATCTTGAGAAACTGCTATAAATACAGTAACTCCAAAGCATGTTACACCAAAGCGTATCCCATTAGCCCAATGCACAGACCATGGCCTCCACCTTCTCAGGACTTCCAGTATGATAGCTCTCAAGACAAAATTATCAAGAAAACCAGCGTGCCAAAAATTATGTTATAGCTATCAATCTACTTCCCGCTGAGCAGGAATCAGAACTCCTTAGCTTAAAGGCATCATTCATTAGCATGGTAGCTTTGCAAGTGAATGGTGTAGTTTACAAATAATTTCAACAGAGAAAACAAAGCAATACAAAATAATTATCCAAAACATAAAAAATAAAAAAGCAAGCCAAATTACCTACTAAACCACTACACCCATCAGATCACCTATCTTCCATGATAGGCATCAGATAACTAAAGTACTATTGGCCAAGGTGCCAAGCGACTAATGCCTTCCTTTCACAAATGGCCTGTAAATTAACCTGAAAAAAATAGCATTAAGAGTATGTTTAAGCTAGCCTTTGCTTCCTGTCAACATCAATTTTGTTACCAAAAAAAATTCCAGATGAGTAACTATCCAAAATAACTTTTTTCCTATTCAGGTCATTTCTGTATGTGGTTATCCACATGAATCTTACGCAGCGTATGTCCACAAAATACAAAACATAAGAATGCTCACATTGTGTAAGTCAATGAAGAAGGGAATAGTTTTGCCAACAGACACAAAGGATTAATGCCAACTTCTTTCTCCCTTTCTTTTTGTGAACACACTGTTGCAAAAAGAAAAAGGGATCTAAGATGGATTTAGAAATATGCTGACCAGTTAGATGAAATCAACACTTGTTTCATGACTGTGTGTAAGCTACATGAAAGGTGCAGAAAGAGAACTTGGGAGATGGTGAAACAAGAGTCTAAAAGCCAACTCTCAGAACATGCTGCTCCCTAAGTTCCCATCTGGTTCTTCCAGAAATGTTATGTAGCAGTTTTATATACTACATAAAGCACAATAAACTTAATTCTTTAAATGAAAATACCCTCTTTCTTCTACAAGGATCACTGTTCCATCTGTGTACCAACTGCAGCCTGTTAATCTTACCTTCAGAGCACCACAAAGCTCAACCGTATCTGCATCGTCTACTACAGTTATTCGGAAGTTTGGAGTTTGCAGGAGTTCTTTGAAAAGAAGGCCATTTTCCAAGATTTTGCTGCCTGTTGAGAGACAGAAAGGAAGGCTAAAAAATTAATAAATTATTTGGGTGTTATTTAGCCTTTTCTGTGCAAGCCAAAATACTTAAAAGCAGAGATACGGTTGTTCTATATTCATCCTAAACAGAGTCCTGTTTTAAGTGACTATGGACATGTCTTCATTGCACTTAAAAAGCTCTGCACTGAGTTACTCTGGACTTCTTCATAATTCATTGTCTGCTCAGCAACAGATTCTAAATAACAATTCCATTAATTTTCTACATTCTTTTTTTGATTCTTCTCTTTAAAAAGAACAGTTTATAATAAAACAAAGGTGAATTAAAAATATAGCAGGTGCAATTCTACCAATTATTTTAAGGCCTGCATTCCAGAAGAATACCCACTGATAAACGCATGTCAAGGAAGTTTTATTAATTGAGCATGCTGCCACTGGCAGATGTTTCTAAGCACTAAGAGGCAATTCAGCCATTCAAAAATAAGTTCAATGCAAAAGCTGTTAATGAGAGTTTACAAAGCTAAAAATGCACAAAACTGTAAAAATTAACACTGAAAAAATAACATGAACTCTGTGCTATTACGTATGACTACCTGTATGTGTATACACACACACACATGCCTATCTAGACACTGAAATCCAAGACTAGGCACATTTTTGTGCTGCAAAGGTGTGCAGAGATCAACACAGAACTAAAACCATGTCTGGCTTTTGGGGGAACTAATTATTTTGAGAAATTAAAATAGGATATTGATACCTTAAAAAACCCCACAACCCAAACATGCATAAAGGTACTGTCTGTGACCATAACACCTGAGCTGGAGTACAGAATATATAATCATTTATCCATATAAAATCATGCAGACCCAAGAAAAATCTTAAGCACAGTAATAAAATAAAGCAGTTTGTTATGTGGAGGGTGACAGAAAGCATCCTTAGTATTTCACCTGCTAAGGTCATAACCCTAGTGAGACTAGGTAAAATTGCACTCCTCCCTCTCCCCCTATTCCTGGTATTGTCCTAGTACTTTTGGAAGTATAAACATTCTAGGAAATTGAACATTAGAATAAAAAGAACCCAACAGTTTCTGATAAAAAATGATAAAATTTGAGCTATTTGGGATGCAACTGTGAGGACAGGAGCATGTTTTAAACATTCTTATTACTTGGAACAGTACCTATTGTGGTTTCACAGAATTTCTCTGCTGCCACCTCATTGGCAATGTTAGCTCCCATCAGCACACTGATGTCTATTCCCATCTTCTCTCGAATAATGTCAGAGATCAGTTTGAGTCCCTCCGGGCCTTCATCTATTCCCTGCAGCCAACATTAAACGGAATTACTAAAAAGTCATTCATTAGATACAGTAGAGAAGCACATCACAATTAGTCTTGTTCATGGGTGAGAAGTGCAAGAAGGCCTATTCAGATAGAGACTAGAGATGACAGGCTTGCTACTGGTGAAACTTCTGCTGTTGTTGTGACCTCTCCAAGCACTCGTCTTTTCATAGAAGGTAGCACCTAAAGAATTAGGACTAAACTCTAGGTGATGGTAACAGTTTTCATTCCATGCTCAAAGACCTGATTCTAAGAAGTGCTGAATATTCAGCTTTGTTAGTTCAGAATCTCAGCTGCTTATTATCAGTGTATCCTTACTAAAACCAGTGAAGCATCACCAATCCATCAGTTGTGAATCAGGCCTCCACTTGGATTTGAAATTGCACCAAAACTCACAAAATGGCGTCCCAATAACTTGTTTTGTGAAGAGGTATCTGAACTGAAATACCAGAGACAGATCCCCTTGTGTATAATACCAACAACAGTTTACTAGTAGAAACCCAGTGTAATCATTTTGAATACTGCTACAAATGGAACAGCTGTTCACAGATATGTAGAAAGCTGATCAACTGAGAATAATTTAACTTCTAAGGATATTTTTAATCTGTATTTATAATGCTCTCTTTAGAAAGTGTGAAAGTAGGGGCAGAAATAGGACTTTAGAAAAGATCACCCCAGAGATTAATGCTGCAATGGAGAAGAGAGTCTGGTACCTGGAATTGCCTGAACCAAGAACTCCAAATGAGAGCACTTTCTTCTCACAAAACCCTTTTCTTCTAGCCTGCAAAATGCAGACTCCTTTTGAGTTTTTAGAACAGGGACATGGCAGACAAGCTACCGAAATGGTCTTTCTTTCCCACAGTATACCACCTTTTATACAGTACTACTTTTTAATGTTGGGGATTTGGTACTTCTGGGGATTGGTAATTTTGAATTATGACTTAAAGGCAAAAGGGCAGTGTGATCCTCTACTACTTCCAGATACACATATACACACACACACACTTGTACGTTGCCAGTAGTGACATTTCAGGCAGGCAGTAATTTGCATTTCCACACATCAGAGGTGCTATTCCTTAAATAACATGGTGCAATCAAGAGACATGCAGAAATGCCTGTATAAAACCAGCCAATTAAACTAGTGCTTGCATTTCTGCATTATTTTTTCAATCTGTCTCACTTAATGCACAGCTCTGCTTTCTCATCTTTAATGAGCCATACAGAAAGAATCTGAAAGCAAGCACACATGTACATGTTGTATTTTTCCCTCACAGTGTTAATAATGTCCCCACAAAATGACTGTAAGGCCCCTCCTCCTAAGTAAGCAATTAATAAACAGAAAAGCATGCACAGATTGCGAACAACTCCAAAAATGTGAACACAACAATTATTCATCCCAGTGAAAGGCGATCAGAGAGGTGTAGGTGCCAAATTCAGCTCCGCTATGAAACAGATGCAACTTCTGACAAAGTCAAGGAGAACTGCACCTGTTTCTTGTAGAGTTAAATCCAATACTGAATGATAGATGACAGGAGAAAAAACAAACACATCTCCCTCCCTCCAAAACCAAGGCTCCAACATATGCGAATTTCCACTGGGTAGCAATGATCCCCAGGCAATGCAAGTCCAATTTGGTGGTCTTACTGCTTACATCCTAACATGCCTGCCAGAGCAGTCCCTGGGGCCCATATATACGTAGATGAAAATGAGATTGATGTTGAAGCTGCCTGAAGACTATTTTGAATGACCTCCACCTACTCTGCTTCCTGTGCTTGCTGCTGTACCACATCGTAAGTTGTATACAGTTCCTCCCCCACACCTACACAATGATTTGTTAGGTTTTCATAGACACCAGTGATCAGAACTTAGGTAAAGCAACACAGCTGCCAATGTTTCAATGGGAATGCAGATTTATCAGCAGAAAAATGTTTTCATTTCCCAAAGACTCAGTTTTATTATCAGACATAGGTTCTGCTTGAAGATTAGACTGGCAAAAAAAAAAAAAAAAAAAAGACTAAAAGATGACACACTGCTAACTTGCCAAGAAATTTAGAAAGAACAGAAACAAGACGTCCCACTAATGATATTCTGCAGAGCAGAACTGCACTTTTAACTGCCAAAGTTAACACAAGCCACTTTAATAGCAGTGTTGAGCATAATGAGACCACTAAAAATATGACTTTGATGAAAACAGCATGCATAAAGAAGCTGCAGAAGTAGAGGAAAGAATGCATTCCTGCCTCTACTACTTAGTTTCATTATGGTGTTAAATCTCTGCCCTTTCTTCTTAAATGATAATTTTAATGATGCACAGTTACACCTTTTCATAAAAGCTAACATACACTTTGCATTCTCCTGCAAAAAAATTAAGAGGCCTCACACTATTTCTTTTGAAAGACCGCTTACTGAAGCGGTGTCACAATGTGACAGTGGGAAGCTGCCTAGTAATCAACTCTGCTTTGCATGGCAAGTGTCACTATTTTACTTACACTACACTAAGTATGGGCTTTTTGCTTTCTTGGTTTTTTTTTTTTATTTGTTCAGGGTTTGGATTTTTTTTTTTTAAAGCTAAGTGTCGTGTGTGTCCCCTTTTTTTTTAAACATAGCCATTAATCAACACTCCATTAAAGCACTGGTAATCAATACCCAGAGCAGTAATCCCACAGCAATGTAGGCCCAGACTCTGACTTCAGATATGCTGACATAAATCCTCATTTACTGCACCGATTTCATTGGAGTTATTCCTATCACTAAGGACATGAGAACATAAATCACATTTAGCAAGTTAAAGGAGAATAAAGTTTATCTTGAGCTTACAGAAGAAAGAAGCATAAATGGACAACTTCAAAGCAATAAACTTACCGGCATCTAGGACAGTTGTGTGGTTTTGATGCTATGCATTCAGCTCTTTTAACACTGCCTTATTTTATCCTTCTACAATATGAAAAGTTTTTCTACAAAATGCAGCAAGTACACTTGGAAGCATTACTTTTTCATACATCTCAGCAATACATCAGGTCAGCACTGACAAAACAATACAGATTTGATGGACTTAGTTAGCCAAACTAAAGAGACAAGCTCGCAGTAAGTAGTGATGGGGGGGGTTTGTTCTTTTTGAGCACAGATCCATAAATGTATCATTTTCTAGAAATGACAGTGAACAAGGGAATGTGTGCTGAGAAAATGGCTTGCTTTCAACTAAGTACAAAGCAACAACAAACCAGAATCTTCCAAACCTTGTGGCAATAGCTTATTCTCTGCAGCTAAACACACGGGGCGGGGGGCGGCAGGAAGAAGCTCATTCACATTTAAAAATTCTCCTGCCACCAAAACTACAAACACACCAGTGAAACACTTCCTGCACCTCTGGCCTCTCCTATTTCTTATGCTCAAACTGTCCTTTTGGACCATGCTGAACAGACTCTCTTCTTGCAATGTAATACTTGACATGAACAAGAGCACTATCCTCTCAGTCACATGAAATTCTCTCAGCAGTTCTTAAAATGATCAACTTGGCGTGTGGGATGTGCGTTAACAATCAAAGCATTATGCTTGCACTCTGTTCTTCATCTAATGATGCGTTTGGAAACAACAAATAAAAGACTGGAAAGCTCAGTGGTGCAAATCATATTCACTCCCTCTTTCTTTTTTAGAAGTCTTATGAAAAGCCCATTTTGCTCTTCCTGCAAGCGCTAGCCTAAAATAAAACACTTCATAACAATCCACTAATGACCAAGACAAATTCCAGTCTTACATCTAGAAAGGTTTAATGGAACAATCAAGTGAATAATGCAAAGAGACTTTTCATAGCAAAATATCAAGCCATCTTGTTTTAGAAGATTCCTTGACACATTCCTGGTTATTATTAATGCATAGTATTTATTATACCTTTATGAGAGTTATACCAAGCGCTTTCTTGGGTACTCGTCCTGTGATTTCATCGCAGACTTTATGAATGAACTGATGAGGAATGACAAAAACCAGCAAATCTGCATCCTGTACAGCTTCATTAAGGTTTGGGACAGCAACCTGTGTAGTTATGGGAGAGAAGAGCCACATAACTTCTTAAAATTAACACTACACACAAGTGTTATCTGATAAGTAAAAGCACATTTTGGTCTTATACTGAATGCTACAGACTACTGTGCTTCATCATGGAAAATAAGCAGTAACAAATTTCCCAGAAAAGCAGAAGAATTTAAGCTTTCACACAAGTTGGTTTATGTCTTGAAAGGGGCATCTTCACAGCCACCAGCATGGTTAGTGCCACAAAAATTCAAAATGTTCCATAACATTCAAACAAGTACTTTGAGTAAGAAAACATAAAATAAGAAGCTGCCTTCTCTTTGACAAAATAATATCATTTTTATAAATTATTATAATTTTATTATTTTATATAATATGTAATATGATAATAATATTATCATATTATTATCAAGGAGCGGATCCTCCTGGAGACTATGCAAAGGCACATGGAAAATAACAAGGTGACTGGTGACAGCCAACATGGCTTCCCTAAGGACAAATCGTGCCTGACAAATATGGTGGCCTACAACAGGGTTACAGCATTGGTGGATAAAGGAAGAGCAACAGATGCCATCTACCTGGACTTGTACAAAGCATTTGACTTGAATGAGCAGGTAGTGGACAGCAGAAACGCCACACTTGCTGAAGGCTAGGGAAATGGGATTTCAGTGTCATTGTTAAAGAGAAAACTGCAATGCATGGCGATTCATGTTTTTCCTAGCCAAAAACTCAACTGAACTGTCAGCTTCTGCAGCCTCTTCCTATAATGTTTTTGGGGCCAGAGTCACAACCTGCCCACCCACCATCATGTTAGACTAACACAGAATAGATGTGGAGTCCCACTGTTTTGCCCTGGCAATGCCACATCTAATATGCTGATCTGACTGCACATAGTTGAAACACAACTGAGAACCAGATAAACTGCCAACGGCTTGCAGTTTGCTTGAGAAATACTCTAGTTCTCATCCTGTAATACTTTCTAAGAGTTTCAGAGTACTTGAAATCCCTTCAATTCTCACTGACCAGCCAGCTCCCTTCCAAAGTTGAGGCCAAATTCTTTTTTTTAATGGGTATGGTCAGAGCTGTTAATCTAGCCCTCATTTTCACATTTGCTTCCTTATACAGAAGCTGAAGTAACATACGGACAATAATGAGCCGGGGGAAAAAAAAAAAAAAAAAGGGAACGGTGCGTTGGATTTACCTACCTACATAACTGCATAATTTTACTTGTTCAAATCTCTGATCTCTCATCAGTAAAATAGCATGCAGTCTGAAATATTATAAACCCTAAAGGTGTTAACAAAACAAATTTCTACCTCCATTCACAGCATGAGCAATATTCCCTCTGCTCCATAACTAGAATTTAGCTTCTGAGCCTTACCACATTATCTGGCAGCTTGTATCCGGGGAGATATTTTACATTTTCATGTTCATTATTTATTATATCTGTCAGTTTTCTTCCATTAATATTCTCCTCGAAGACCCACATCTTCACTGTGGAAGCAAACTTCTGCAATTTTTTTACATTATTGCCTATTATTTTGGCAACCGCAGAACCCCTGCAGGAAAGAAAACAAATATTCTAAAAAAATTATGATTTTGCTCTAAAAGAAAGAGATTGTCTTTAAAATAAACAGTAATTCACAGGTTATTGGACCAGTTACTAAGTAGCATTTTTCATCTACTAAAACAAGTGGAAAAATACACCAGTCATTCACACCTGCTGCTTTCTCTCAAATACATCTAGAGTAGGTTGGACTGAAGCATTTACTGAAAACATGACTGCTTATTGCCTATCCAGTGAGAGTTTAGGTTACCGTATTTCCACAAATCAAATAGATTATATCTTCAAAGCAGTGGTAAAAGTGACATACTCAATTTTAAAAAAATGGATCGTTTTCACCTTTAAGAAACAGGAAGCTTTCTTTGCTAAGATGACTGACCCATCAATTACTGTACAATACGGATATGCATTTAAAGCCAAGAAGCATTTATATCTTGCTTAAATTATAAGCTTTATGGTTATGCCGCCAACCTCACAGAATTTAACTGTTGCAACGGCATCCTCTGAATTTGCAGGCAGACAATTCCATTAGTTAGCCTCATTTTCTCCCCAGGAACACCACACAGTGAAACCTGTAGGATGGTGATGAATTTTACTACTCAAATCTCTAAGCAACAATGAAATTAATCAGAATTACTGAAGCTACATACAAGAAGAGGAACAAATCTAACTTTCCCTTCCATTCCTAGCCTGAATGCTATATGGAAGAAAAAGATGCAATTTTATAAAAGCTGTTAACCTAACTTCCTTTCCTGGGACAAGAAGGCAGCTTCATAATTACTGATAACTTAGAAAACAGACAAAAAAGAAATTTAGAAAGATGTGATAAAAATACACGGAGTCACCACTCTGAGGCTTACATGTGTGCATGTGTGGAAACTGCACACTTTATTAGCAGGTAAGAACACTTGAACTTTTCAAATCTAGTTATACTTACATACTCCCCTAAATTTATTATGGACATTGCTTGTAATAAACTCACAGCTGGCAACTAAATCAGGTAGATTCATTCTGCTTCAAGAGCTTTTAATATGGCACAACTCATTGTGCTATATTAAAGATGTGTGCTATCACAGGCCTAAAGTCACTTTCTACATAGTAGCAGAAAAAAATATAGTATCCTAAGTAAACCTTCTTCAGTTAAACCATAAAACTGTATGTCTTAAAAGACTGGAATTTGTTTCTCTAACAGCACTTCACACACTACAAATTCCCCTGGGTTCAGGAGGTGATACAGAAGCCACAGTTGTCAGGCATCTCTTATAAAGTTCATATTCTAGATCTGCATGCACACAGAGTGTTTTCCACTACAATGGTAGACAATTCACCAGCTCAACCCCCAAATTTCAGATCCACAGAAACAGTATGAATCACATTCAACACAACACAGGTATGTGTTCCTCAGAAAGTGCTTTGAGTTCCTTGAACAAAAGCACATTTACTACTGCAGATTTATATACAAAGTCTGGATCCCGGCAAATCACTGTCTTCAGTTTTGAACTTCACTACACATTCTGTGTGCTTAGGGTTGATAGAGAAAGACAGAAATAACTGATTCAGCAACTGACCGACTGGGATTTTCAAAGTTTGCCAGCATAAAGTTTGGCAGCGTGTACTACTTGAGCGAGACATTAATTCCATTACTATTTAACACTTAAATGCCTTAGCTGTCTTCTTCTCAGCCTTTGAATGTTGTATGAAAAAAGTGAAGATTTGCTTAGTCTTAGTTCCTGAATTTAGGAAGATTCTCCTGACTGGCTTCTCTGGTTCCTCATTTCCGGTTATGTCGCAACAACTGTTGCAGGACTGAATTAAGCAAGGTCAAACAACAGACACCGAGTCTAGGACTGCTCTATGCAAGGTGAAATATCAGCTCCCCACACCTGTTAATCCAACAAGTAAGCCTATATTCTCTTCCGTGCCCTAATACTCCTCAGTGTGTACTCTGAAATAATTTACTGGAATGTCTGGCTTGTCTTGTATGCTCCTGACACATCACAAGGCAAAGGAATGGGAATTCTTTCCAATTTATTCCTAGCCATAACAGTTCTAGTGCGAGGAAGGTTGCAAGACTTGGTGCCCGCAGCAGCTCAGTTACACAAGAAAAAACATAGTGAAAGATCCCCTCATAAACCTTAACCCTGACATGCGCTGAGGGATGGTTAATGCTATTCAAGTAATACAAGGTAGTTGCACACTAAACAGCAGTTCTCTTCCTTGCAACGAATATCAAAGGTACACCCAAGTACAATCACATACACTTATTTAACACCTCTGAAAAACTGTATCTGATGCTCACTGAGCAAGACCACCCACTTTGTCTCCTGCCCTTTACTGTTACAGTATATCACAGTTGGTCTGCTTTCCCCTCATCACTCTAAAAGTAAAGCACAAAACCCAGAAACTCCTAAACTTGCCCTGATACCAGCATCAGTGGAGGTCACAACATGCAAGTGCAAACAATATCATTAACTCTAGCTCTACCACTTGTCCCTGTAAAATCACCTCAGTTAAGCCACAAGTTTTACCTCCTATTTTTCTACAGCAAGTTCATAGCCATATGAACCCCTCTGTTCTGGTAACTTCCCATCTCTTACTGAACTCTACAGTTTCTGTTAAAGTTGGGCCATCAGATTAATTAACAACTGGTTCTAGCAAAACAGACAGGGATAAATTCCAGCCATGCACACCTTGTTCACCTGCCCTGCAAGTGTTATCAGAAGACCAGGCTATAGTACATGTCCAAGACAGCGTTTGCAGTGCTTTCACTGAATCTGGGCACTGTCCTTGAATCCTGAAGCTTCAAAGCATATTCCCAAGGTATACGCTCTTCACATTCAAGAAAGCTTATTTTATCCCCTGTCTTAAAGATCCTAATACAATCACTTATCCAGCAGCTGAGCAACCCTAAATGGGCAAGGCCAGCAAAAAGCACAGCTCCTGCTCTTCAGTGCCTTGCTAGCCATCTGTCCTGTACCATGATCTTCCATCAGGTGTTAGTGACCACTGCCAAGTCAACTTCATTGTTAGGGTGACCTTCCCCCTAGCAAACCGACCAAACAAGTCTGACTGGAAGTAGTTTATCATCCAAGGTGACTGGCTCAACCCTTCTAAACAGTCACTATTGTGCCAAGCTCCTTTAGTGTTTTTTTTTACCCCAGATATAGGTCAAAGGGCTGTGAGAAGGCAAAGATGTCCATACAGTTACTGGGCACTTGTGGGACAGAATCATCTCGCACAGAACCCCAAAACCCCACAGTCTCCAAACTGCTAAAGATGTCACTCAGTTCAACTACTTACATGCTTACAATTCAGGCAACACCAGTCACACACTCCAGTAATCCAGGCTTCAAAAATATATAACCCCAAAATATCAATGACAAGATGTATATAAATGCTTCAATTTCTTTCTATTTACCTGCTTTTGAGCATTAAATGCTTCCATTTTAGGACCACAGGCCCCAGTTCAAAAAGGCACTTAAATGCACATAGGTACACAATTCAAATTAAGTCCTATTTAGTTCAATGGTTGCATGTATTAGAACCACAGCGCTCTTTGTGGTCAGGATTTGGTGTTTGTCATCCCTTGGACTCTGAGGAAGAAATCATCTACCTCTCCAAGAATTACTGTTTTCAGAAACACTCAGGGTGGCGGGGGAGAGGGGGTTGGGGATGGGAGAACTGTTGCACATCAAATAATTTGCAATTTAATATTTTTTATTGCTTTGGTTTCTGCTTTCCTGCTACAAAAAAAAATTGCCACACTGCTACTAAATATGAAATAAGCTACCAGTTATTTGAATACATTTATCCCCAAAAGAAAGAAAAAAAGCTGATGTCCGATAATAGCATTATCTGTTTCTCTCAGCATCACAGATATGGCCATTTTGCCACCCAAATATCCACCCTGTTAGGCAGGAGCTTTTCTTGTTATTAAACTGATCCAATGAGGTGAAAACAAAATATATATGCATGTGGTTATTGCTAGTAGGTAATATCTACATATCTTTTTGCTTCTGCAAGTGTGTTTCACAGTGAATCAAGTATAAATGCAGTCAAACTTCCTGCAAAACTTTCTGCTAGATTTCAAGCATGGAAGAATGGCAACAATACTCCTAAAAGATTGATATGTCTAACTACATCATTTCCGACATATTGCAAGGCACAGAATCTCCCAGTTCCTCTTACAAGCTAGTGCAAGGAAAGCAAGAGATGCTGCACTGAAATGTCAGCCATTCCCTGAACAAGCCATCACAAAGAAAAACACAACTTGGCAGCTGCTGATATTTTTAACTATGCAAAACAGCACCAAAAGCTAATTGCACAGAGGGGGCAGGGCGTGAGCAACAAGTATAAGATCACCTTGACAAAAGGCTGTTAAGTTTTGTTTAATAAACTGTGGTACCTTGCTCTACACCAAAGTCCTCTGAATTTAGATTTAGTCTTAAAAACCAAAATGTTATCAGAAATAATGTATGCTTAGCATTAGTAATTAAAGTGACAAACTGTGAAGATACATTTATATAACACATTGTACTTAGCTTATTCCTGGCAAATAGGGATCCAGGGTAAAAAGAGTGATCAGGAATGGCAGAGAAATTGAACAAGCAAGACAAAGGATTATTAACATGATGCTCCCCTTAGAGAAATTTTTAGTAAATCTATTGCTTTCAGTGGACACAACCGTGAGTTTATTACTTAAGTCTAATTATAAGTTAGTGATAGATGCAGCAATAAAACCTTGTCTCAAGCCTTCAGTATGCCTCAGCATAATCAATTTGAAAAAGAGAAGGTATTTCAAATAACCTAGTGTCTTGCAACTCTTCTTTGAACTACCTTGGAAAACAGCTAACACAGGAAACCCCGAACAACACTTTTGGAGAGAAGTGGACTTGTTACAGAAGCCCTACAGGCAGCACTTAGTTAGCAATGACCTGCTGAAAAAAAAAGATAAAATGTTCAGTATCTTTAACGTCTATGCCACCTGACATCGGACACACCACACAACAAACACCAGGTTAAAAATAATCCCAAAATAACTTCTTCACAGAACAGATGGGTGCCTACAAGCACGCCAAAACGGGGCGCTCGACTCTGCCGCTTCTCCCTCCGTTTACTTCAGGGCAGTACCTCTGCCCCCGCGGGAGACCGAGGGCTGGAGAAGCCCACCCGTACGGCACAAGCGCGCTCAAAAGTCCCCCACAGACCGAGCCCTGCTAGCAGCTGCCGGCGACACCGTGGTTCACCACCGGCACCGGGGCCGTCGCCTCCGGGGCACGGCTGCCCTCACCGCCGCCACCCCGAGGGGAGCGCGGCCACGGCGCGAAACCCTCCGGCTGCGGGCCGGGGGAAGGACAGCGCTGCGCGGGAAGCGACAGCAAGGCCCGGGCAGGCACAGCCTCAGGGAAGGTCAGGCCGCGGCCGCCGCCGAGGTGTCAGCCCTCTCAGGGCTGCCGCCCCACTCACCAGTTCCCCGAGCCCACGATGCAGACCCTGAGGGGCGCCGCGGAGAGCGCCATGGCAGCGCCACCCGCGCCCTGCCAATGGCCGCGGCGACGGGCTCCGTGAGGAGACCGCCTCACGCTCCCCCGCCTCCGCCGTCAGGGGATCGCTCTCACCTCCCTCCGCCCCTGCGGCTTGCCGGGAAGTGTAGTTCCGCACCGCGTCGCTCGTTCCCTCACCCTTGCCGGCTCTGTGGGGGCGTCGCGGGCTCCCGCCATGGAGGGCGAGGCTAACGGCAGCCGGGCGGTAGCGGTTGCCCCGCCCATCCGGGGCGGCGCCCCGCACCAAAAGTGGCAGTGCTGCTGGCACTGTGCCATATCCTTACTGTCACTGTTTTCTACTCGGCTAATACCACACATTTCAGTCATATACGTCACAACAAAACTCTTTTGCTCTCTTCTAGGGCCGGAGCAGCGCTGAATAGCTTCGGAGTAAGTCTGTGAAGCGCCCAGATGTGGAGGAACCAACGTATCAAGTAGTAAAGCAGGCCAGGCCTGGGGGGATCGTAACGAGAGAAATATGAGTGTTTTCAGATACTCCTTTCCCCTCAGCCTTTAGCCAATATCATGTTGTTCTCCTTCCCCCATGCTTCTCCAGGGGAAAAAAAAATGCAGATGAGCTGTTGGTTTGGTAAGATGGTTTTAAGTCATCTGTAATAAACTTTTTCATCAATGGTGTATTTCTACTGACACCTTTAGCTGTATTTAATAATAACCTGGAAGCACTCAAATACAATGCTCTTGTCTCTGCACAAAGATGGTGCCCCCCTCTCTTTATTATAAACCGTGTATCAAGACAACACCCTTTTGAGCTTTTCATTACGGGGAGCTGTGGCAGACTTCTTCTCTTGTACCTTTTCCAAGTGGCTTGCTAGGGACCTGATGGTGTTGATTCAGAGAAATTGACTCAATAGTTTGATTAACTATTAAGTAGGTATTCTTTATTGGCAGCGCTGGATGCACGGGGGATCACTCCACCTATCGTGCACACCGTCGGGTCTAATTGTGCAGGTTAAATACATGTTCTACATACATATTCACTAGATTTCCGAGAAATGTTATACATATTCATTAGTTTTCCGGGAAACTATTAGCATATGCAAATGTCCTTTACGCAGGCACATTGAAGGTCTCTGGTGGTCTTCAGGAGTCCTCTGGTGGTCTTCCATAGTCTTCCTCACTTGTCCGCTATTTGACCCTTCTCAGGTGATTCTGCGCAGTATGGTCTTTTACATGTTTTAATACAACAGTGCTTGTTAGTGCTCTTATTATCTAAGTTCTCATTAGTGGTGTAAAAACCATATGGTTAGTTTAAGCTAAATTATCTACAAGGACGAGAACAAAGGCAGGAGTTCTTATCTTTTCTGGCCCTATCTATTCAAGCAAGGCCTCTACTTGAGTCTTCTTGACAAGATCGTAAATTTATCAAACATTTAATTAAGTTTTGTGATTGTTCATGGTTCCTTCTTGCTCATCACTCCCAAGTACCAGTCTCTGACAGGCTTAATCCTTGACGAGCACCAGTCTTTGGTATGTAAAGTTACAGAGAGACAATCATTAAGCAATTAGCAGTTCGTTCTCTATATCAGTGTTAGCTGTTCCTGAAATGCTCCTTCAGTGAGAGGCTACATGAAAGGAAAAGTTGGACTAGCTCAGTTGCCTTTTGGGTCATTGGAGCTGAAGCAGGGTGAACTGCTACCTGGTTTTCTCCTTTCTGTTTAAAGCGGGGTTTTCATTTACCTCAGTGCTGGTTTGCTATCAAATTAAACTAAACCAGAAGGGGGAAAAAAAAAAAAACCCAAACGCCTAAATCCAAGCTGCTTGCACTAGTATCTTCATTTCCACTGGTAGCATTTCCTAATGTGGAGAAAGCCCTCATCTCATTATTATTATTTGAGTCCTGTGAGGGGGTGTTTTGCTTGCACTTGCCTTAAGCATCCAGAGACCAGAGTTGATAATAGTCAGCCTAGCTTTTGAGGGATTGGGGAAGGGATAGTCCTATAAAATTGAACAACAGGCGACTGGAGTCTACATACTTAATGAAATAGGGGAATAAAAATGATGCAAAAAGTACATCCTTAATGTAAGCACTTCAGGATCATTTTGATGATCTGGACAGAAAAGATGAAAGTATTAAGCTAAATGGGAAATACAAAAAATACAGACAAATTATAACTTCTATAGATTTTCTCATAAAGCTGGCAATTATTCAGCCATCTAGAAGGCTATGGTCCATCAGTCTGCAACATTTTATGAGGTTGTGTGTACTTCTGTGTTTTACACAGAATTGTCATTGTCTTACTGGCAGCCTGCAACCTGAACTTTAACATACATCTTCACCATGAACTAAACTGCAGTCTAGTTAAACAGTTCAAGTTTATGAATACTCTGTTAACAGCTAAAATATAGTGTAAACACATATTCATCTTAAAGAATCCTCAGATGCATTGCAGAAGTACATTGCAGAGACCTACCCATACCATTCCAAATAGAGACTTTAGCCTATTAGAATAGGATAGAATAGACTGTTTCAGCTGGAAGGAACCTACAGTAATCATCTAGTCCAACTGCCTGACCAATTCAGGGCTGACCAAATTAAAGCATGTTACTAAGGGCATTGTCCAAATGCTCTTAAAAGCTGACAAGCATGGGCCATCAACCACTTCTCTAGGAAGCCTGTTCCAGTGTTTGACCATCCTCTTAGGGAAATGCTTCCTAATGTCCAGTCTAAACCTCCCCTGGTGCAGCTTTGAGCCATTCCCATGCGTCCTATCACTGGATACCAGGGAGAAGAGATCAGCACCTCCCTCTCCACTTCCCCTCCTCAGGAAGCTGTCGAGAGCAGTGACGTTGCCCCTCAGCCTCCTTCTCTCCAAATTAGACAAACCCAAAGTCCTGAGCTGCTCCTCAGAGGACATTCCTTCCAGCCCTTTCACCAGCTTTGTTGCCTTCCTCTGGATGCATTCAAGGACCTTCACATCCTTCTTAAACTGTGGGGCCCAGAACTGCACAGAGTACTCCAGGTAAGGCCACACCAACACAGAATACAGTGGGATAATCACCTCTTTTGACTGGCTGGTTATACTGTGTTTAATGCACTCCAGGATATGGTTTGCCCTCTTGGCTGCCAGGACAATTAATAGAGTATTGATTAATTTAAGCTGCATCTGAGGTAAGAAGTGGCAATCCTTTAAATAAAAACATTGCAGACAACGGAGATGAAAGAGCAAGAAAGAACCTTTCTACTGTTGAAACAAGTGCTACCAGATCATTAACGGTAGCAAGAACACAAAGACACTCTTTTATGCCCTGTCTGCAAACTCAGACAGGTATGTTCAGGCAATCTAACTGTACTGATTGAAGATACTGTCCTCCCATCCCAGTGGGCTATATCGACCTCAGCTGGAGATTTTAATCTTTTTCTCAAGGTTGGCAGAAGAAATGACTTTTTGCATGTTAGTGGCTTGAGTTCAGAGTCTGGCATCTTACCTTTAATTGCTAATGAGATGGGTTAAGAGCAAAGGCAATCTGAAAGGTAATCTCAGGGAAATCAGAACAGCAGCCTCTTTCATAAAAGAGCACATTTTCATGGTGTAGCCATGAGAGTCCAGGTATAACCAATGAATTTAAGTCACAGATACTCAAGTGCATATTCCATTCTCCTGAACCTTATACAGCAAACAGCCAAAGGGAAGTGACAGACAGCTATGGGTCATAATAGATCAAGCTAAGCGACTGTTTGCCTGAATTATAGGTGTTAAGTCCTTCAGATTCTGGGGTTTGTATGGAAGCAGCTGAGGAAGGAGCACATGTTCCCTTATGCCAGCTTTGCTATGGCAGCAGTAGGAGCTCCTCTGACAGGTGAAGCAGGTATCTGGGTTTATTAAACCACCACTAAGATTTGACAGATTGCATCTCCAACACCCCAAAAGACTAAGTCAATATGAAATTTACCTAGTGCATGTCAGAAAGCAGATAGTTTGGTACCTATAGTTCCATTACAGAAAAAAAAAAAAAAAAAAGAGGAAGATTGATAAAGAAAATAAAGATACAGTTTGGATGGGGGAGCAAGTAATACACAATGAGATCACTGTTCTTGTTTTCCAGTTTTCCTCTGTAGTTAAGTGCTTTGTTGATCCAATGTCAGTAGAGATAGATCCATATTTTTCTTCAGTGCTTCATTTGACTTTACATGTGCTGATAAAAAAGACAGCATGGATTAAGCATCCATTAAGAAGAACAAAACCAATTTATATAAGGGCAGTATAAAGCTCTGAGATTCTCTAGTTGCATGTTCTAGACTACTTATATGCAGTCACTGCACTTACAGCTTAATCTAGTGATCTATTTTAGCTATTCTAGATATTGCTAGGATGCCTGTTCCTCTTTTTCTAGGAAGTTCTCTATTTGTCTGACATCCAAGCATTTATCAAAACCTGACAAGCTCCTTTCAAAACTCAGTACCCAGAGATAATATGATATGTCAGTGCTAATCTACAACTGCAAAGAGTCCTGTACAAAGCAGAAACATCTGGCAACTCAAAAATACAGGCAAGCTACAATAGTATAAATATTTAGCTTTAATTGCAAATTTCTGAAAACAGTCCTGATTACCTGCTTGGAACATTTCCAGGTAATATGCTGATTTTCTCATTGAATAGATTATTATAAAAAATAGTTTTCTTCGGATACATTTAAAAGCATTACATTGCAGTTTCCTTTCGTTTTATTCTTAGTGTTCTGTACAAAAGATAGGAATCTGATTTATATATAATTAGGTAATTATTGCACTGGAACACATTAGGGTCTTGAAACACATCTTGAGACATTCTAAATTCTGCTGATTTTGTAGGGATTTCTTTTACATACATTCTGTTGTGTGAGTGTGAGGCTGGCAAAACTGTGTGACTTCTTTAGTAGAGTAAACTCTTTAGCCTAACAATGGGTAGGGATTAGGTAGCACAGCTCAGCCTCTCTGAGTAGATGATGTCAAAGGGAAGACTAAGATATAATAATTAATAGTTTCATAAGACACCTCAGTTTCTAAAGCATCATAAAGACATATGAAGATGAGGTCCTCCC